TCAAGTTCAGGGTCTGTGACTTCCAAGTCGTAGTCTCTAGGAAACTGATCAAATTCCGCCGGGATGTTCTTGCCCTTCCGCCACGCCTGTTGTGCGACTCGCTTGCGCCGATTGAGCGCTCGGTTCGGGAGCCAGATTTCCTTTGTTTTCTCCTCCTCTGCTTTATCGTCCTTTTCCTTGTCTTCTTGAGCTTTTTTGCGCTGGTCGTGGAACTTGCGGATCCATGTATCGGCTACCATGTCGCAGAGATCCCAAAACTTCTCTTGGTAGCAGACGATGTAAAGCTGGGTGAGGGTCTTGGCGCTGTAGGGTAGGGCCTGGTATGGGTTGGCGGCGTCGGTGAGGCCGGGAAGGTCGAGGTTGATTTTGGCGTTGCTCTTGAGATTGCTCAGGATGAGGTATATTTCTTTGTCTGCTATGAACGGGGGAGGCACTGCAGGGGACGCGAACATCCCGTAATGTTCGACTGATTTCGCAGCGGCGGCGCTAAACGGCTTGTAGTTCTTGGGCGGACGACCTCTTGGCTTTGGTGTCTTTGGTGGCTGCTTGATCTGCTCTTGAGCCTTGTGTGTAACGTACGCTGGAATAAGGTCAGTAATCTGTGATCATAACACAAGAGAGAGGAGCACTCACATGGATCACTCGCCACGGATCCTCTGCCAACGTCTCTAGCATCTTCCTCAGCCTGATCAATGAAGGCATCGATCTCGCTACCCTGAGCGGCGTCGTATTGGTTTGGCTTTTGAATCGCTCGTCCTGTGCGAGTTGTCACCGGCGCCGCCTCTACGGACTGCTGAGGGATATCGTCGTCTTGATCACCTCTCTCGCCATATCCAGGTGTCGCTTCGCGCTGCTGCGCTGGGCTATCCGATCTTCCCACCGACGACTTGAGCAGTAGCTTGGGTGCCGGTCTATTGGGTGCACCTTCTGACGCTGACGGCGCTGGGGTCGCTGACTTCGAGGCTCTGCCTTTCGGTCGGCCGCCACCACGGCTACCACCTTTGGCGCCACCGCGAGGACGTCCCGGCGGTTTTCCCGTCGTGACTGTCTTCTGTTTACCCATTGCGCTTTCGACGAAGACTTTGCGGCCGATGCAAATCTGCGACGAGGTCGACGAGTCGGTATGTATGAGATCGGTATACGGTTGAGAACGACGTAGTAGTTGCGTTGGTGTTACAGACTCTTAGTCGTAGAAAAGAGAATCTGAGGTTACCTTCGTAGCCTAGTCTGCTGAACGTAGTGAAGGTGAGCGATTATCGCTAGTTGCGTCTGGCAACGCTAGGCTACCGGGACTGTAGAACAATAGAATGAGCAGGCATCTGGCCGTATTGAGAATATTAAAGCAGCGCAACTCCTCTGACATAGTGAATACCAAATAGGCCTAGGAGCTTGCGCTCTCTCGAAGTGAGAGTGAGATACTAAGCTCCAGCAGGTACGTCATCAAGATGATTGGTCGTGCGCTTTCATCACAAACGGTATTGAGAAGACGAGAAATTGGCCTGCGCCAGTCCATAAGAATGGAGAGTTCCAGCAAAGTCTATCATGTGCAAAGGCCCAAAAGATGAACGAAGAATGGCACCAACTACAAACCTAGAAACCAAATTCAGCCCCCGGCCCGGGGTAACCTTCGCGTCTCACCTCCAACTCCTTCTCCTTCGCCTCGTATCTTGTATAAAGCCGTTCAGCTCTCAAGACGCACTCCTGACAAAAGATAACGCCGGAGTCCTTGTTGAGAAGAAGTGCCAAGGGATGCGTCGGGCAGGGCTTGTCAGACTCACAGTTCTGACCACAAGGTTGCTGAGCAACACAGTAGACCTTGTGGCCACAATGTAAATTGTGCTCTTGGAGATCTGGATTGGGGAACGGTGCCGCCAATATGTTGTCGACCAGGTCGTTCGGGATCTGGAGAGCCGCTACAATTTCACCGCGTGTGAGGGCGAGAGAACGTCGACGGTATTTCTGGAAGAGGTAGTGGTCTACTGGAATTCCCTGACAGACTTCGCAATAGAGGGGTTCTTGACGCGGCCGAAAGTCAGTGGCCAGGATACTGATGAGCCTTGGACTAGAAGAGGACGCATCAGCGATTGACAGAACCTAAAAGCTTCGTCGATAACATACACCGTGGGTGACTTTACGAGGGTCTCTGAGAACTGTGGGTTGGCCCCATTTATGGGGTATCGGCAGTTGCTACCGCATCTCGTATCCGACCCATCGATAACGACAACATGGCCGCAGTTGAGGAGGTGAAACATATTCGGCGCGGTTCGACCGTGGTCGTCTACAGTGCCGCTACATGGTCTGATCATCCGTATCGCACTTGTGACCCTCTCGACGCCGTCTTGTGGTGTGTCCCGCTTTTGTTGATCCGTTAGAGCTGGGGCCCAGGACATGTTGAAGGGTAGCGAGGTTGTAGATAGCGGGTAATCGTGATGGTTGTTTAAACTTCTGTCGAGCGTCCAGTAGCGATACTGATAAGTGCTTGCGGGGCGGTTGTCTAGACAGCCGAGTGACCACAAGGTGCAAACGCGCGTACGAATAACGTGAAAGTGAATCGAAGAAGTGGAAAATTAGGCAGCAAGTCCAAGCTCCCCAACAATACTCTTGCCTCCAGTTTCATTTTCGCGACAGCTCTTGACTGACTTTCGAACACCGCCGGAAGTCGCAATGGCAGCGAATCAAGAGGACTTCGTCCGCATCGGCTTGCGCGCGACGACAAGCAGCGATGATATACATACGCTGTGTGCAATCTGTCTTGATGAGCTACAGTCGGGCCAGGAGGTTGACGAGATTCGCCGTTGCGGCCACACTTTCCACAGACATTGCTTGCTGGCCTGGCTCAACTCATGGAACACACAACATAGCAGCTGTCCGAACTGTCGCCTGCCGCTCTTTCCGAGTCGCCACCCTCTACCTGTAAGCATTGTGTACAGAAGCAATCCACGCGCATTCACTAATCGTGACGACACAGCCACCTTTGAGTGATGTCGATGAACAAGGAGATCTGGCGGGCCTATTCACGAGCTTAGACGAACTAAGTAACACCGTGTCGATGCTGGGAGATACGGTGGTGGCTTTTCGCAACCACAACAACCTACTCCTGAGCGAGCTAAGGCGCCATAACCTTGATGTTCCTGATACATCGCCAAGCGACCCTCGATTCCGACGTGCGTTAGAAGCCGTTCACGAGTTGAAACCGGTGCCTTCATGTATCATGCCCGACCCGGCAACAGGCGAATACACACCTATAGAGGCGCGTTATCGCAGACTGGTATTTTTGGGAACAGAACGAATTTCCAGCGTCGCTCTCGAGAACCGCTGGAGGAATCGCTCTGCGTTCGTGCGCGACCTGGAGCGATTGGAGCAGCTTCGTCTCCATCTTGGTCCCCAACCGGCTTCAGACAACCGTCCCGAGCCAGGTCTAGACCAGACAAGGTTGCTTATCGAATATGGCGCTCTCTTGAACAAACTCATGCCTGACAACTGGCACTTCACTCCCGACGAGACCGGGGCTATGCGCAGCGAATGGTCAAGGAGTGCTGTTATTGGCAGCTTTGATCGGGAGCTCGTGCAAGAGACAAGGTTGTTCTCACTTCTCTCGATCGCAACTGAAAGGGACACCAGGCAAGCGCTTGAGGGTATTCCGGAACGAGCAGTAAGGTTTATGCTTGGAGACTACAGACACAATTGGTTTGTGAACGCAGGCATTTTCCGTCACTACATGGCCAGCGAAAGCCAGTTGGGTGGATCATCGACTATCGTACCTACACCACAGGCGTTCATGGTAGAACGTCCAGCACGACAGCGAGAAGTGTCTTCGTCGCGTCCGGGCGAAGGTAGTAGATGGCAACCCGGTATGTCGCCGTTCAGGTCCTCGGCCGCTCAGAGCCAGAGTATGAGAGTTAGTTGGTTCGATGAGATGCCGCGTGGAGCCAATGCAGAAGCTCTGCTTGATCCGGAGTATCTCCGGTGGCGGCAAGAGCAGGGCGAACCGTCGAGTTTCAACGGTCCTACAGCCGTGGGAGGGGTAAGCCGTACCATGAGTGCTGAACCCGTCGCTGCACAACAACAGACCCAGCCCGTCGTCAATGGGGGTAGCAGTACGTTCACACAACTGCCTCGTACACCGGACATGGACGAACTTGTGCGACCACCCCAGAACAGAGAGCCAGATCTTCACCCGGAGCAGATGAGTCAGCGAGGAGAAATCCATGAGGCCATCTTCAGCGAGCTGCAACCGCTGATCTCTGGACCCCAAGCGCAAGCAGAGGCATCCAGACAATTCCCTGGTCAGGCCATTCACGACCGCAGCTTGCAGACCAGTGCGAACGCCATGGGTGCTCGGGTGATTCGCATGCTCCGAAACTCCCTTCACCGACGCCGGTCACAGTAGAGGGAAGCATCGCAAACGGCGGAGATGGAAGTTCTGAAAGAGACACGGAGGGCGTTTGAGTGAGGAGTCAAAGACGTGAACGACAGGCAGTATCAGAGAAAGGCGAGCAACGTGAGGGTGTATCGCCCCAAAGTGTTTCGTGGAGTCTCAGAGCTTGATGCAAGTAAGCCTTCGTGTTCAGCGTTTACTGGTGCTCTCAGGTGATGTGGTGATATGGTGATGTGTGAAGCATGCCGAGGGGGAAGTTGGATGACTGAGCGGATGACTAAGCCACCAGCTGCAAACGCGCCAAACAGCAGGGAAGGCGGCTGTTCGCTGATAGGTGTGGTCCGCAGCTATCACACCTCACTCACCCAGCGCGCCTGCTCGTCTAGTCTGCCTCGCCATTTGGACTGTGCCTGCTAATGGAGACGCGGCTGCTGCTCCTACAGGACGCTGGACTCGCTGGGGGTGGCTCATAGCCCGCAATTCCGAAAGGTACCCATCCAATTGTCCCGCCCCAGCATGCCACTCTCGTCGGCTATCGCGAAACATCCCGCCCGCCATGTCTGACGGCGGCCCTGGGCACCTCCAGCCGCCGTCTCTTTCTGCCCACGACGTGTCGCCGCTGATGGGCTCGCTTTCTAATGTGCTCGCAGGAACTTCTCACCACGCCGGCCACAGGTTGCCCACCATTCAGCCTGCATCGCCGCCGAACAAAGGCGCGCCGCACGCTTCCACGACGCCCCCTCGCCCTGCCTTCTTTTCCGTAGCCAGGGGCCACCCACATGCGACTGCCATTGCCAGCTCTGGCTCCTCGACTACCGAATCCTTCTCCGAGTTGACGTCGTCGTCGTCACGGGACTCGCTTCCCAATCCCCCCGGGCGCAACGCCCCTACCACGCCCCAGAAACAGGCGCGCACCACCAGGCGGAAACACTCGAACAAGTCCACGGGCCGATGGAGTAGGGGAGGCGGCTCGTCAGATGATACCGGCTCCGACCGCAAACCCCCCACCTCGCAGCCCGTAGAGCCCGCGCAGAGCGCTGCTCGCTCACCCCCGACTGCGTCCAAGACGCGCCAGCAACCCTCTATTGCTACCAACACCGCCTCGACGAGCCAGCCGCGATTCATGGCAACAACCTTTGGCGGTCCTTCGGGTGATTCGCGACGGGGAGTCGTCTCTCCTCGCCCTAAGGGACGCGGTATGACGCAGCCACACCTTATACACATGTCATGTCTGACTGGCCTATGCAGAAGCGAAGAACACCCTCTGCCGCAATGTCACCATCTACGGACACTGCCGGTACGAAAACAGTAAGTGCTGCTGGCCGCACCTGCCGAATCCTGTGGTGACCCTGTCTAGCCTGCCCCTACATCCACGACACCCTCAAGCTGGGCCAGAACGAGAACGCCAAAAAGCGATTCAATGTCGACTCTCCCTCCTTCACGCCTCTGCAGGCGAGCACCAATGGATCTGTGACCCCGTCCTCTCGCAGTGCCGCCATCTCGCCCAAGGCGGCCAATGCTGCCGTCTTCACTCCCAAATCGCAACGCTCCGGTGAGTCCTGAGCATTCGCAAATGACTTCTATATGCATGCTGATCGTCTCAGCCGTCACCACCCCGCATATGCACGCGAAAGAACCCGCCATTGATTGGAATTCACATGACTTCCAAGATTTTGTCCCGCAGTCTTTTGAGGGTCAGCAGATGGTGCGTGGCTTTACTTGATATATCTGTCTCACATTCGTGACCTTGGAGCACGTTCTTACATCCAGTTCTCGGCTCACAACGCCCTAGGTGGACCCTAATGTGGGCTACGATCCTTTCAGCACACCCTCCAGTATCTCTACCCTGGCAGGTGCAACCCACCAAGCTGCTACCATCAACCCGTATGCACAAGATGCTTCGACGACGTATTTCCAGAACGCCAACGCGTTTCAAACTCCAGCATACCATCTGTACTGGCCGGTAGGGCCTCAGCCGACGGGTCTGCTTGCTTACCAGCGTACTGCACATGATTTCTTCATACCTGACGCTCTTCGGGAAGAGTTGCAAAAGAAGGCGGATATTGCACGTCAGGTCGCGCCGAATAGTACTTTGCCGGTCATTGAGCAGTTTCACTCCTTGTTTTGTTTAGACATGTCACCCCAGAAGAACACGGCTCCATTTGGGTACGCCAGCTGGATCTACAAAGCTGTGTCAAGCAAAGATGGCAAGACGTATGCGCTACGCCGTCTGGAAAACTTCCGCCTTACAAGCGAGACTGCAATTCGCTCCGCCCAGCCATGGAAACGCGTTTTGAACGGCAATGTGGTTACAATCCACGAAGCGTTCACTACTCGAGCTTTTGGCGATAGTTCTCTAATCTTAGTCACCGACTACCATCCAAATTCGAAGTCACTTGCTGATGAGCATTTCAAGCCGGTGCAGCGTTTCCACGGGCGGCAACCTGCATCATCGCACGTACCGGAGCAAGTGTTATGGGGCTACATTGTTCAAATTGCATCGGCTCTAAAGGCCATACACGGTTCGGGTCTCGCAGCGCGCCTCATCACACCTTCGAAAATACTGTTGACGTCAAAGAACCGAATACGACTCAACGCATGCAGTATTATGGACATAGTCCAGTTTGACAATGCGCGTCCCGTGCCCGAACTGCAAGCAGACGACCTCGTTCAGCTAGGACGACTAATACTTTGCATCGCGAACAACAACGCCACAGCCCACTTGCAGATGCAAAAGTCGATGGACTATATCACTAGAAGTTATACAGCCCGTCTCAAGGAGTGCGTGCAATGGCTGCTCAACCCTCAACCAGCACCAGGAGCACCATCGTCTCCTACAACACCGGCGCCGATGCAGAAAGACATTGACACCTTCCTGGGAGGTATTGCCGATCAATTCGCATCGGTGTTCGACAGCGAGCTACATGCCCAGGATACGCTTACAGTGAACCTCGGAAAAGAGTTGGAATCATCGAGGTTGGTCCGTTTGCTGGTCAAGCTGAATATGATCAACGAGCGACCAGAGCTAGACGCTTCTCAAAACATGCCCGGCAACAGCGGCGCAAACCCGTCATCGGTATGGGCAGAAACTGGAGAGCGCTACTACCTCAAGCTCTTCCGCGATTACGTCTTCCACCAGGTAGACGCCAACGGACACCCGGTCACTGACCTCGCGCACGTTCTCGACTGCTTAAACAAGCTCGACGCCGGGACCGACGAGAAGATACCGCTCGTCAGCCGCGACGAGCAAAACGTGCTGATAGTGAGCTACCGCGAAGTAAAGCGGGCACTAGAGTCAGCATTCCAGGACTTGGTCCGGGCGGGACGTGTTTCGGGGAAATAGGATTCCTCAACCCCCAGTCCACCCGGCTAGCAGCATCGTTATGGATGGACGGAAGAAAAAGGTTTTCTCATTAAAGGGGCTGCAGCGAGACTTGAGTCGCAGAAGGACCCAGACGACGCGAATGTGAATGTTGTTTGTGAGGAAGAAACGATTGGATGGACGAATGATTTGGAATGGGTTGGAGAGGAGCTGTTGGAGATGCTTGCATGAGTTGCGTATTACTGTTGTATCGAAGGAAATAAGATGGCGGATAGTAGGGATTAGAGGAAACACGTATTATTCATAGCGCAATGAAAACGCAATTCTAGCTTCATATAGCAACTGTTCCGTGACTTTAGCATAAGTATCATCACAGCCACAATCTCTCAGTAAGTATATATACAGCAAACGACATATTATTATACTGGCATACAAAGGCCTTATCAAGACTTTGATCTTTTTTTTCATCCGCGCCGCAAAGCCTGGGACCATCTATAGAGGCAGAAGAGACGAACACTCGTACAAGATAAAAAGCTAGAAGCTATAAAAAACGAATGAAGAAAGTTGATGAAGCAGACAAGTGAAGTCGCAAATCACTACAAATTGAGTAGGTGAAAACAAGAAAAGAAGAAAGATGAAGGGAGGGAAAAACAGCATACAGAAGATCTGATCTGTACACATGCATGCCCACCAAAATAATCCACCAGGTGAGCGGTACTCCTCATTACCGGCGGGTTTGTCTGTCCTTTCGCCAGCTCTGGACTTTAGACCCGCTTGTGTGCCCGATAAGAAGAGCCATCTATTGACTCTTCTTCGCGCCCCCCTTCCTAGGCAAACCCGCCTTCCGCCTCGCCTCGCGATCACCCTCCGCAAGCCACTGGCTCGCCTTGACCATCTGAACAATATTTATCCACTGCTTGACAGCCATAAAGGGAGCTGACGTCAACATGCAGATCCAAGGGACAGTCGAGTCCATCTTGTTGGCACGAGCCATCTCCATGGCTGCGGCGGAGAAGGGGCTAGCGAAGAACATGGAGGGTTTGGGAGCGGCGGGGGAGCCGGGCTGGATGGACGAGGGGTTGTTGAGGTCGGAGAAGAGGGTCGGGGAGAGGAGGGGCGAGCTGAAGGAGAGGAGGTAGAGGGCGATGAAGAAGATTTCGTTCATGGCGCAGAGGGTGAAGAGGACTTTCTGTGGGTGGTTGTTAGCGGATGTTTCGCGACTATGCTACACGTGAGATTCTAGTTGAGTGAGTAACGTACGTTATTGGAGTAGTACTGCTTCAACAACCAACTCCTGCTCTCATTCACATTCTTGTGGCTCTGTCCGCTGCCGCCCATGCTCAGCGTCGCGTACATGTGCATGTAGTGGCTAGCCAAGTCGAGGGAGATGAGGCCCTGGAAGACGATGCTGAAGCGCGGGAACGCTTGCGCCAAGAAAACGAGCAGACACGTTGTTGTACACCTGTCCGTCACCATGTCGAGCACAGCTCCAAACTTGGTGCTCTGTTCGTAGGCCCGCGCGGCGTAGCCGTCGAGCGCATCGAGCAGGCAGGATATGCTGTAGAGGAGGGTGCATGTGCGTGGGTGGAGGGGCATGTAGTAGAGCGAGATCAGGGCGAGGAAGACGCGCGAGTAGCCTGTGGGAGTTGTTAGCTCGTGTATGTTGAGTAGAAAGGGACGCGCCTACCGATCAAGTTTGGGATGAAGAGGAATATGTTCTCGTACGCGCCCTCCTTCTCAGCCTGTGCTGGCCGTACCGCGGCGCCGTTGCCGTTGGCTTGTGTCTGTACTGATGCCATGGTGGTCGAGATGGCGTCCGATCCGTCTTCCCGATTATCCTCAGTGGAGACACTCGCTATAGCTGCGTGTCTTTGTATACACGTGTACCCCGCTGCGCTTACTGCAGAGAGTGGAGGCTCGTATGCGCGCTCTGCTGATGCTCAGAGCGCTAGGCAGCAGGTGCTCGTATGGGATGACGTGCAGCGAGGTGAAGTCCAGCGCTGGGCGTGAACGGACGGAATCGTTCGGGAACGGGCGTGCTGGGTGCCAACAGACGCTTTGTCGGGCTTGCAATAGCTGTTGAAGCTGTGCGGGTCCAGACCAGAAAGTTGTCGAATGAGCCGCCGATAAGCCGAGCTGATAACGAACCCTGTCGCGAATGCAGGTGCTTGGTAGTACGGCTGCAAAAAGTAAGACCGAGATGGACAAGAAGGCGTAGTAGAGGTGTTGGAAGGAGCGTACGTGTCAAGAAACTGGTGGAAGCAAAGTAGTTGTGCCTGGAAATTGAGGTACCATAAATCTGCCATGTTCGTCCGCCAGCTCCCGGTTACCCGCCTAGACCAGAAAGGGGGTGAGCTTGGCATATGAGGTCAATCGCACATCAGTTCCGTCACCGGACCAAACGGACCATGTGCCCTCGTCGGCAATGGACATTGTGAATTCATGGTTGTTGTTTTCACATCATCTGCCCGGTCTTGCTGCTGACGGTAGCATCTCATGTTTCATGCAGAAGGGCAATACAACAGCGGGGAAGTCTTCAATGAGAGTCTGCTTGCGTAACGCCTACGAGTATGTCTACGTATTCGTCAACCCTGTTCATCTACTTTTGTGTTTCGCCCTGTTCATATATCTTAAGAGATAGTGGATCGTGATCAGAGGTATCATTAAGCTATGTAACCACTCCTGAATAAACCACCTACTCCTTGAAGCCCTTGAATGACCCGGTCTTCGCAGCGATCTTCTTCGACTTAGCCTTCTGGTGAGCCTGCTTCTCCTTCGCTTTGCCGGTACTGAGACCGCGATCCGCCTTACCCTTCTTCCAAACCTTGCCTTCTGATCGGACGTCGTTCATCTCGAGCTTTTTGCGGTCTTTGCCACTGAGCTTCTTCCCCTTCTTGGCCTTCAGAGCTGCTCCGGCAGATTGGGAAGATCCGTTTAGTGCAGCAGCACCCTTCTCTTTCTCTGCCAACTTGTCCTTTTCGGACTCGAACCATGTGCGCCTTGGCCGAGACTTGATCTCATCTTCGTGCTGAATCAAGTTCTCACCTCGCTTGAGGTCACGTTCTGTGACGCTCATGGCACGCTCCTCTTTCTCTTCGGCGAGGACCTCCTCAATCTCGCCTTCAAGGTCCTTGATCTTTTTCATCCACCTGTCGGTTTCTTCTACGGGTACTTGTCGACTAACAACCTTGGCGCCTTGGTCGCGCGAAGCCTTGACAGCCTGCTTGACGACTTTGCGGTCAGGTTCTGCGGCAAGCGTACAGGCACGACCACTTCGTCCTGCACGAGCGGTACGACCAACACGATGCATGTAGATATCGTGACTTTGCGGTGCTTCATAGTTGATGACTACCGCGACGTTCTTGATATCGAGACCACGCGAGGCGACATCGGTAGCCAACAAGTAGGCGGACTTGCCTGATCGGAAAGCCTCCACGGATTGAATACGCTATGACTGTTAGTATTGCATCAAACGTCAAATGTTATTGAGTTGCTTACCTGCTCTTGGCTCATGTTACCATGGAGCTCACTAGCCTTGAGCCCACAGAGAGCGAATACAACGCGCACCCTATGCGCTTCCTTCTTTTGCCTGAAGAAGATGATGACCTTCTCTGTGTAAATCTTTTCACAAATGTACATCAAATACGCAAGCCTCTTATCTTCCTTGCCCTGCCTCAATCGCACGAACTCTTGCGTAAGACCTGCTACAGTGTGCTTCTTCGCATCAACCATCAGACGTACGGGCTTGTCCATACCGATGCGGATAAGCTTGTCAACTGAGCTCGTCATGGTAGCGGAGAACAGCATGGTCTGTCGTGATTTCGGAATAGTCGTCAGGATCTCGTTCAGTTGGGTCTCGAAACCCTCTTCGAGCATACGATCGGCTTCATCGAGAACAAGAATCTCGAGATGCTCAACCTGGAAGGCAGCTGTGTTGTGCATGTGATCGATGAAACGACCAGGCGTCGCAATCACAACATCCGGTCGGGTCTTCAGCACAGCCTCTTGGTCGCGCGTTGAGAAACCACCAGCCATCAGTGCGAAGGTAATGTCGGTGAAGGAGGCAAGTTTGGTCGCGACGTTGAAACATTGTACCGCCAACTCACGAGTAGGCATGAAGATGGCGACACGAGTGGTTGGAACCTTTTTTGGCCGGTAGAGCAGACGTTCGAGGATAGGAATGAGGAAAGCGGCCGTTTTACCAGAACCAGTCTCGGCTCCTCCAACAACGTCCTTGCCTTGCATCGCAATCGGAACTGCTTTGTTCTGGATAGGCGTGGGCTCGGTGAAGCCGACAGATGCCAAACCTCGTAGAATGGGTCGTGAAAGCGACATGGCTTGGAAAGAACCAGTACCACCTTTGGCCCCCTTCTTCTTCTTGATCTGCACGCTGTCTTCGGGTGCGAAGAAAGCGGCTGCCTTCTTCGCCTCGACAGCGTCCTCTTCCTCGCTCTGATCTTCTTGGTCTGTTTCGGCGCCCTCAAGGTCCATAGGATGTGGTACATGCGGTACTTCTGCTTCTTCGTCTGAGTCGCCCTCCTCTTCGCTTCCACTACCCTCAGCCCCTGAAGCCTCCTCCTCGTCCTCCTGGTCTTCCTCTGAGTCGCTTGCTGCGCCCATGCCGAATCCGTCTTCGGCCATGAGCTCATCGTCCTCGCCGAAACCCTCAAAGTCGCCATTGACAGAAGCTTCGGGCGACTCCGTTTCTATGACTGCCTGTGCGCTCTTCTTATTTCGTCTCCGCTCGATGATGTCGTCAACATCGACTGCGGTGCCCTTCTTCTGCGACTCCTGTGCTACTGTGCCGTTGTCGTTGCCCCAGCCGTCAAACTCCTCCACGAATCCGGTATCTATGTCGCCGACCGCAAACTCGAAGTCGCTGGCAATGTCGTCGTTCTGTTCGACATCTTCGGTCGGTTCAGGCATCGCATCTTCTTCGATTTCTGGAGCAGGATCGGCTCCTTTCTTTCCCTTCTTCTTGTCCTTCTTCGCTTTCTTCGACGCGACTTCTTTCGGCTTGA